GGCTCTCCACAACTTCCTATCCTTTTTAACTCTTAGTAATATTTCTCTTGTTACAATTCTTTCCTTTGCTGCTCTGCCAGATATTTATATAAACTCTTTAGGTAGGTTACTTGCCATTTAATGCCTAGGTTAATTTCACCCATTTACTGTCAAAAGTGAAACTTCTCTCTTTCTTACCCACCATAGAGAAACTTTCTTGCCTCCTATCAGTATAGTTGATGCTCACCTTCACCAGAGCATCTCTCTGCACCTTCTTTCCTCAAACACCCCTCTTTACTCTTGCTGTCACACTCTGTAACCTCTTACGTCCTAGTGGCATTCCCGCCTTGCATGGGGTAAAATGCTTAAAAAGCAAAAAGAAACAAAAAACTTTTCTATTTTCCTCTTGACTTCAATTATGTCCTGTGAGTGTCAAATTTTCCAGGTCTTCTTGTCTGATTATATGTTGAAATTTCTGGGAACAAAACATGAGAAAAGAATACCTGGAAAATTTGACTAAAGTGCTATGCTCTCTCACTTACAACTACGACTACTACTACTAAAAATAATAATAATAATTAAACATTACGTTAATGCCTGGCCACTCGTATTTGAGGATACCCATCTACTAGGGTGGTTAGGTAATCCTTGTTGCAGACGCTTGTTCAGGCACATTTTGTGTTTGTTAAACACCCAGACAGCCCACCTGTCATTTATACTGCAACTATGCTGAGCAGACCTTAGTTACAGTTTCTGGGAGATGCGCGTTATCTAGTGTGATCAACAATCTGAACAGGGCCAGTACACTCAAACCCTCGGTCACAATGACTTGTGACTCTATGCTAGCACAGCCATTGACAGCCCCCCAATGGTTTTGTTTACAAATTCACTCACAAGGTTTGGGTCAAACTGTGGTATGGTTTTCAGGCACTTTCCAAAGGTGCCGTGCTACGGGGATCATCTCCTCCAGACTGATAACATCAACACGTTACCTTCCTGACAAATTGAGTACAGATTTCATGGTCAGAAAATGAAAGTTCTAACCACACAGCCACTTGCCCATTAATAATAATAATAATAATAATAATATACTAAGAAAATACAAGGAATTCAAGACAGAATTTTTTTTTACAATGACGTTCCCCTATACAAGGCCCCTGTATAATGCAAGAGGCAGAGTTTATGGGGACATGTAGGGAAGGTTACAGTTAAATGTAGACTTGAACAGGTTATGGTTGTAGTGATTGGAGAAGCATCCTCTTGGGAGTTGATTCTACAAAGCATTAGTTCATGTGATGAGACTGCTCAAGTAGAACTTATACGTCACTAATGGTATACGAAGGGAATGAGGGCTTTACACCATGTGCGGCATGAAGGGTCTTAACTGTGGAGGTTAAACTTTGGAGAACTAAGGAATGTAGTTTGTCTGACCTTAGAACTAGTGATAGAGCAGCAAGAGGCTTGCAATGTTTCATCTGGGGTTGGAAAAAAAAAATATATATATATGCCTTGTGGAAATCTTCAGGAGAAGAAAAGGCTAAGGAGTAAACTCTACACAAATCCAGAATGGAGCCCCTAAAGTGGATGAACGGCACTCTGTGCTACCTTCCGACAACCCCTGCAGCAGCATTGGTACCAAACTGTATTGGTTCATCCTTTCCTTTGGACTCTGCTAGCAAGACTGAGAGGGGGAACTAGATGTCCGGGCTGCCCTAGTTCTCCATATATCCCGCCCAGGCTCGTAGCACAAAGACGGACGGATACCAAACCGAATATATATATATATATATATATATGTCATCAGTATTTCACTTTTGTCATGATGTGGCTCTTGTAAAGGTAGAGCATAGCAGGAGGAGTCGGGTACTTAATAGAGTGGTACAGGGAACTGGCCATTTTCTGACCATTTTACTGATGGATTGTATGTATTTGGATATAGTAAATGCCTCTAAAACATTCCATCATAACTGATCAGAACCAGAACCTTCACCAATTGTGATATTCCCTCAGGGAGGCCCCATGCTTTGAGTGCCTGTTGTAATTTATACTCAACCCAGACCCCAAGTAGAACTTGTACATACAGGTCTGTTGTGCAGTAGGGTAGCCTGTAGTATTACACTCAATTTGAAAGTTGGGATTTGATATAATAAATATTCTCTCCTAAATTATTACCATTTTCTAAAGCTTTACAAATTGTATATGGATAAGATGCATGGCACAAGCACATTATTACTAAATTATTGTGCCATCAAATAAAGTCTTTATTTACTTCAAAGAGAAATTATACTGAACAATTTAGTTATATTATGATGCAATATATCATACAGTGCAGTAGCTTTTCAATAAAAAATGCAAATTTAAAACATTTTGTCTTATAATCTTTGCCCAGTAGTGTTATGGTGTTATATAAACATTTATGTATATTTTGTTTCTATTAATTATGATCTAACAAATGATCTAGCAAATCTTATTCCCTGAGTGGCCATTTTGTAATGTTTTATGATTATTTTTTACACAGTTTTTACTTGCCGAATACAGTAAAAAAAATGGATATTTTTCTTGTGATTCATAATTAGAATTCTGGTTTTAATATATTTTCAATTCTCTCTAGCACTCTAACATAAGAATATACACTCAAGGAGGTAATGAAAATTTCTCAACTCAACAAAGATGTTCTCACAAAAATATCCAATATTTTCTTTGATCAGATTTTGATTTTGAGTCTTTTAAAGTTTATTGCATGTACACATCTAAAGACTGTATAAAAATTCAATATCTTCTTTTTATTATTATTGTTAGAAAGACCTGTAGAATTTCATGGTTTTCCTGGTTTAATTTTGTATACCTGTCTATCTCTAATGCACATATAGCATACATCTCCAGATTACACATTAGCAATAAGGCTGGTTAATATTTGAAATTGTGGTATTGCACTCAAGTTGGCATCTAACAGGCTAAATAATGATACAAAGTATTATTTTGCAAATCATTACGATTTTTTTTGAGGAAATGCGTTTAAATATTAAGTTTAAGTTCAAAATCACAGCATTGGAATTTAATTTTGGTGATCAGCAAAAGCCTTATAGCACAGCCTTATAAAATTTATAATTTACTGAAGCTTTACAAATTTTATATGGACAAGAAGCAAGGCACATGTACATTGTTACTAAATCATTGGGCATTAAAATTAAATCTTCATTTAATTCAAATGGAAATTATATTAAACAATTTAGATATAATATGATGTAATATGTTATACAGTGCAGTAGTTTTAGTTTTGATTTTCAATAAAAAATACAAATTTAAAATATTTTGTCTTATAATTTGTGCCGAGCAGTATTATGGTATTATACAGACTTATATCTATTTTTTGTTTTTATTAATCTTACAAATGATCTAACAAATGTTATTTATTTAGTAGCCTTTTTGGTAATCTTTTAGATTTTTACAGTTTTTACTTATTGAATACAGTAAAAAAAAATGGATATTTTTTTGTTGTGATTCATAATTAGAATTCTGGTTTGGATATATTTTTCATTTGATGTACAAAAGATATCAACTTTATTTGGATTTATTCTTGAAAATAGTAAAATTTTGAAGTCAGTTTGTGAGCATAAACCTGCTGAAAATAGGAAACTATAAGAACTCCTGTACAAGGTAGTGAATGAAAACAAGAAGAAAGGACTAACTATCAATTGCAAGAAAGCAGAAGGTATAGTTGTCAGCAAAAAGAAAAACCCAACATTCAAATCACATATTGTAAATACCAAAATCAAACATGTACTACACTTTAAATATCTGGGAAGTGTTTTAAGAGAGGTTAGAAAGTGTGACACTAAAATCCAAAGACACATTGGGATAGCAAATGATGCCTTATAAAAACTAATCAAAGTATTAAGAAACAGGAAAAAATTTTTGAAGACATAGTAAAGTGTACTGAACTGTTATGTAATATCGGTCCACCTATATGACAGTTAAAGGTGGACAGTCACCTCACAGATGAGGAAGAGACTTGAAGCAATTTTAGAGAAAAAAGGAACAAAAAGTATACTCATACTTAATATCAGGACGGTTCAAATTTCTAGGTCATATATTGAGGAAAAAGCGTTTGGAAAATTTGATACTCACAGGATATATTGGAGGTTAGAGGGACAGAAGTAAACAGTGCATAACATACCTATTGACCTTAAATAAATGAATGACAGAACAGGGTTTAGGAGACTACTTTTTTTTAAGATCTACAAAGGAAAGGAAATTGTGGAGAGCCAAGATCATGAACAACCTGAAGGTACATGGCACATCAAAGAATTAGTGTCATTTATCCTATTTTTTCAGATTTTTCATGCCAAATTATTACAGTTTTATAGATGATATTTACAAAAATAAGCTACTACCTCTGTCTGATAATAGTTGTTTCATTTGAATACACATTTCATAGATTAAATGTATCAACCATTATGGGACAGAAGTAGGCTCTTTCTTTCCGCATTTTGTCATCATTTGGTAAGTACTTTAAATGAAGAAGACAAAGAGACATAAGAATGAAAATAAATTGGACAGAATATGTTGCAGTAGACATTAATTCCTTTTTGCGGCTCCTTTAACTGAAATGAAATGTTGCACATTTTCAAGAGAGTAATCAGTAGATGAATGACGACTCAATGAGAAATTTGGCCATCAGGTTTCCTGCAGTCTTTGCATAGAGAATATTACGAATTTTGTCAATTCATGCCCACTCATTTCATACAGCTGAATTTAATGAAAAGTTCAAAGAAACTCCCTTCAGGCAGATCTGAAAATGTACAAAAAATTTTTTAAGTTAAATACAGAAAAGAAATGTTTTTGTCTACCAATCAAACAAATAGAGCTCTCTGAGATTAAATTGGGTATGTGGATTCTAAATCTGTTCTAAAAATTGTCCTAACACATTAGTTCTTTGAATTATATGCAGTTATATAATCTTATATTAACTCCATGATTAAATCATTAAATTAACTGATAAACTACTACTACTATGAAGATTAGATATGAACAGAGGAAGATAGATAGATAGATAGATAGATAGATATTAACAGATTGAGAGAGATAGGGAGATAGTTATTTACAGAGACAGATATTATCAGACTGAGATAGATAAAACAGTTATTGATATGTCCTGGAAAAGGGTATATTTGTTCGAAGTAGCAAAGTGGTTTTGGACTACTGTAACCAAGTAGGACAATCTAGCAGGTAACCGTAATGGACTGGTCCACATCATAGTGGTAGACAATAGGTGTAGGCAATAGGCAAAAACAATAGATGTAGCGAATAGGCGTTGTCCTGTACCTCCACATCAGTCTGTATTTATGGCTGACACCGGCCAATCATATTACTGTGAGGGGGAACCCAGGTGTATGCATATTCATTACATCAGTTATTAACAGGCTCAGATAGATACTCAGTTTTTTTGTTGCTTTTTTTTTAAATGAATTGAATTTATTTTCTCCTCTTTTCCCCTCTTTGAAAACTTTATTAGAATATTAAATCTTTGGTGATTATCCTGGATTGTGCAAATATTGGATTTTATTTTTAATCATGGCTGACAGACATGGTGTGTCCTCTTCAACAAGAAGTGTATGCTGGCACTTAAACTAAGTTGAAACTTTGTATTTCAAGTTTCAGATTCCCTATCCATATCTACCTCTGACTCATAAGCTTCTTCTGCAGTAGTCCATACCGGGAGGGGTGGGGGGTAAATGCACAAGCATCTCCCAATACCTTCTTCTCCCAATGTGTTTTCTAGCCCGCTAGCTCACAAGCGATCTATACATACATAAATCATACCGTGGCATCTGGGGCTCCCAACTTGGCTCTCCAGTTGAGTTTTCTGAGTGAAACACTTCTTTCTAATAATAATTTCTCTGGATGCAAATCCCATTTTTTGTCTGTTTTTTTTTTTTTTTTTTTAATAGGAGTAGATAGGCTTTCTCTTGAACAGGAATAATGGCTGATCCCTTGTTTCCTCTTTTGTTGTTTCTAGATCCTGTAGTAGTAGTGTCTTGAATCACATGTGATGTGCATGGTTTATGGTAATGTCTTTTCATACTGAGGGTACCGGGTTGGCAGTTTTCTGGTTGCTGTTCCCAACTGGTAGTTAGCAGCCTTGAGTATCTTGAGAGGCTGCTCTGATCAACAGTTGCATAATATCAGGGTTCTTGCAGTGCCATGCTGTGGAGGAAAGGATGTTCCTACATACACCTTTGGTGAGCAACCCCGTGGCCACATCATGTGCCAGTTACTTTCTGCCCATGTCATATATGATGACCGAATTATTACATTAGGCATTTTCATTACCAACATAACTCAACATGAATACTAACAACCAAATATATAAGCCTAAACCAGCTCCAAAAAACTCACCTAAACCCTGTAATGTTTCAAACATCCATGATATTTTTACCAAATTCTGCAGTGTGAAATTGTTCCACTTTGAATAGTCTCCTGATATACTAGCTCTCTGAGAGACTATTCTTAACTTGTCAATCCCTTCCTTTGATTTCTCGTTTCCCAGCTACCTTCGAAAGGACTCTGAAATCCACATGCATCGCCTGGGTGTTTATGTCCACGGTCATCTCCTGCCGGATAGAGAACTCTTTTTGGGATCACCAGACAATCCATATATGTATCTCCAACTATCTCCTCAATTCAGTAAGCTAACTCTTCTTTCTCTTTTTTACTCCCAAGATTGTTGTGTACTTGAGAGCATTTCTGATAATATAGACATGACCATCTCTCTACATCTGCTTGCAAACATATTCATGTTCAGTGACTTTACTGCCCACTATAACATGTGGCTTAAATATTCTGTAACTGACATTGCTGGTATCCAAACCCTTAACGTTTCAATCACTCAATCCCTCTTGCAAGTAGTTGACTTTCCTATGTATTTTCCTATTAACCCCGACAGTAACGCTTCTCTACTTGATCTCTGTTTTACCTCCATCCCTGACTCTTGTTGCACGACACAGGTCTGCACTCTCAGCAACTCTGATCATGTGATAGTGTCTGTTAACATCCCCTTTCACTCCCCCTCCAGTCATGAACCTCTTACTAATAGAATATCTTTCTGTTATCAATGTGCAGACTGGGACTCATTTCAGGGTTTCCTTTGCGACGTCACTTGGTTTTTAATCATCCCATTCAAAAATGTGTGTCTGAGGTCTCTTCCTGGGTAAAAACCAGCATCAAGGCTTTCATCCCAGCAAGAAAATGCCAAGTTAAATTGTGTTCATCTCCTTGGTTCTCACCTGATTACTCAGCTGCTATAGTCCATAGGAATCATTTCTTTCATCTGTACTGGAGAGACATGTCTGCTTGCAACAGACGTGTCTTTGTCGTTGCTCATTTTGAGTGCAAGCGTGTCCTCAATAAAGTAAAGTTGCTGTTTGCTGATAGAATGAAACAATGTATTGCATCTCGCAAGTTTGGTTCTAAAGATTATTGGTGGCTCTGCAAGAGTGTGCCAAACTACAGCAAATCCTCAATCCCTCCTCTGTTCAATGAATTCAAAGTCCTAACATCCTCGGCTGATAGGGCTGAATGTTTTGCTCAAAAATTCTCATCCAACTTAACACATGACTCATCCAGGGTACCCACACCTGATTTTTCCCCTAGAACTGAGACTATACTGAGTGAGATAAGCATAACCCTGGTATTAGACATCATCTCTAAATTATTCTCATAAAGCAAGTGGTAGTGATGGGATACAGCTGTAGTCCTAAAGAAATGTGCTTCTGAGCTGGCTCCAGTTCTCTCCAAACTATACAACAATTGCCTTGCTCATTCTTGCTTTCCAGCCTGTTGGAAGTACTCCTTTATTATCCCTGATTTTAAGAACTATGGAGACCCTTCTGACCAATATAGCTACCATTCTATTAGTCTCCTAGCACTCTTCTGCAAAGTTTTCAAGGCTTCAATCAATGCCAATGTGTTTAAGTTCCTTACCTTTAAGGATCTAGTCTCTGATGAACAACATGACGTGCTTACAGCCATAACTGAATTTGTATATAAAGCTCTTAGTAATGGCAAAAATATTTAGAGCTGTGGCTCTAGATATCTTGAAGGCATTTGACAGGTTTTGGCATGCTGGTCTTCTACGTAAGCTTCAGGCTTACAGTATTACATGATGATTATTTGATTTAATCCAATCATTCTTGTCAAGCCGTAAAATGGAGGTCATCCTGAATGGGTTCTCTTCCAGTTTCTTCATATGCTGGTGTTCCCCAAGGTTCTATCCTGGGTCCTACACTGTTTCTGATTTTCATCAACAATTTGATATCATCATTTCTCAAGTAAGCTTCTACATAGATGACACTACCATTTACTTCTGTCTCAATAGCAAATCTGGAATCCCTGACAAAATTAACCTGGCCATTGGTCTTGAAAAGGACCTCCAATCTGGAGTTGACTGGGGCATGAAAATGACTTGTAAATTTTAATGCTGCCAAAATGCACTATTTACATTAGTCGGACACATGGCACAGTGGATAAAGGTGTTGGTTAGATCCAGTGACAGACCCAAAGAGTGTGAGTTCAATACCTGGTTAAGTGGAGAACTGATAACTGACATCCATCAAACATGGCACGTGGAACTAGAACAGTCTACCCCAGTGATCGAAATAAAGGGTTCAGTTTGAAATTCCAACCACCTGAAGAAGGCCGGAGCGTACAACGGCCGAAACGTTGTGACAAATATGGCGACAAAGATGAAGACAATAGTCCGACTAATGTAAATACTGTACATAATACCTCATCTCAGAAATATAGACAGATACTGAAAGGCCGAAACGTTGTAATAAATATGGCGACAAAGGTGATGACAATAGTCTGAATAATGTAAATAGTGTACATAATACCTCATCTCAGAAATATAGACAGACTCTGTCAAAATGCAACTGATCCCATTTGCCCATCATAGAGAAACCTCCCTGCTTTCTGTTGATGGCTGATGCTCAACTTCACAAGAGCGTCTCACTGTGCCTTCTTGGTCTTACATTTTCTACTGACCTGAAAGCTGCATCTACTGCAAGGAAAGTTGGTTCTCTGTGTCATGCCAGAAGGTTTTTCTCATCTGAGTCAATCCTTCACATCTACAATTGTACCATTCGTCCTTGCCTTAAATAGTGCTGTCATATATGGCCTGGTGCCCCCGCTGTTCATCTCAAGGTTCTCAATAAAATACAAAGAAGGATATGCACCGTGATAGTTCCTGACCTGGCATTTTGATACACATGCATGATGTGGCTTCCTTCTGTCTTTTCTACAAATATTTTCATGGCAATTGCTCTGATGAGCTATTTTCACTGGGTCATGAAATTAAGTTGGCATCTCGGTCCCACCCTCTTACTGTCAAAACAGTGAAATGTAACTGCCTCTTCTACTCCAGCAGTTTCTTCTCTTACACTTCCTGACAATGGAACTCCCTTCCTCTTACTTGCTTCTCTGATAACTATAGTCTTCAAAACTTTAAATGTAATGTCAATCGATATCTTCAGATGCCTTGATCTTGGTCCCTGTTCCTTCCTCAATCACACCTCTTTTCTCTTATTTTCACTCTCTGTAACCTTTTGCATGCTAATGGAACTGCTGCCTTGGTTGGGATGAAATGCTCATAAAAAAAGATAGATAGATAAATAGATATTAACAGTGCAGTCAACAAAATAAAAAACAAACAATGTGCATGAGCGAAATTAAACATATAAAATTTACAGAGTTGCAGGAGGTTCCAAAGTTGTCTGGAGGCCGTGGCTGAAGCCAATGGCGATTTCATTGTATAAATTTACTTTTTAGTATTTCAAGAGATGCGTAATTTTCATAAATATATCTGTTAATGTGTCAATGTTATTTTCATCTTGACGTAATTTAGACAACAGTTTATCCACTGCACCCTGTAAATAGATAGATAGATAGATAGATTCTAACAGACTGAGATAGATAGATAGATAGATATTAACAGACTGTGATAGATAGATAGATAATGTCCTAGCACATTAGATTTTTAAGTTACATGTATGTATTTTATCTTATATTAATTTCATGATTAAATTAAATGATAAACTACTGCTACTATTTAGATAGATATGAACAGAGGCATATATATATATATATATATATATATATATATATATAGATAGATATGAAATGGAGGTCATCCTGACTGGGTTCTCTTCCAGTTTCTTTCATGCAAATGCTGGTGTTCCCCAAGGTTCTATCCTGGGTCCTACACTGTTTCTGATCTTCATCAACCATTTGATATCATCAGTTCTCAAGTAAGCTTCTACACAGATGACACTACCATTAACAGAATGAGATACATGGTACGATAGGTAAATTGCCACCATATTATATTTTTAATTTCATGCATGCACATTGCTGGTTTTAGATTTTGCAGGCTTGCACATTATAATAGGATCAGTTGGGCACCATCTGTGAGAAAATGTGCACCATGATGCATGCTGTTTCCAAATTTCTGCCAGGAGGTAGTGCTACCCTGGATCAAATGCCTGGTCAAACTATGCCACACAAGCAGGCAAACCTAGTCATGGAAGTCAGACAATTTCTGTGACCACATCACCCATTATATCTGGCTGCCTAACTGCCCAGACTTCAACCTCCTTAATTATTATGAGTGTAGCACAGTTGAGTGAGAGACAAACAAAACGCTTTGTGACATCAAAAATGAACTGTCATCCTGGATAAGATGATAAACTACATCCAGCAGCAAGGCCTCTGATCATGAGGTTTTGAGGAGCGTGGAATCACCTCTTAATTGCTGGTGTTCCCAGCTCCAACCTGAACCAGGGTGGTAGCACCTGTTAGGGTCCCAGCTATGGGCAAATAGTTAACTATTACCAGCAATACATTTTTGAAAAGAATTATTACCAGCAATACAATTTTGAAAGAAAAGTATTAACAGAAACAGATTTTTGACAAAACAAAATATTACCAGCAATAAAAAATGTTGTCAGCATTAAATAATCCATTGAGGTTGATATGTCGTAAAACAAAATAAACCAAACCAAACCAAAAATGAACTGAAGGCAAGGATTATTGCAGTATTCACCAATGTCCAGAAGAGTTGCAAGAGATTCTGAAGTCATCTGGAGGCCATGGTTGAACCTAATGGCGATTTTATTGAATAAATTTAATCTTTAGTATTTCAAGATATTTTTGATTCATTTTGGTAAATGCGCACTTGTGCAAATTAATTGAAACAACTGCTTTAATTTCCTTTCTTTCAACATACGGTCAGTTTCAGACCCACCGGAGTGACAGGGTGTAACCGAGTTCTATTTTTTCTCAGATTACATCATTTGCAATGGTATGCAGTAATATGAATCTATTTTGTGGGTGTATGATGAAATTTGTTTGGCCTTGAAAAATATTGCGTCATCTGTGATTGCATCAGATTTTTATCACACCCAGACACTATTGTCTCAACTGTTAATTAGTTGTCCTACAGCCACTATCTGCATTGGATGTTACTCCAAGGAAGTGTATGAAAGTTGTAATGCTGCATGAACACACTGGCTAACCTTACCAGTGAGCAAATCAAAGTACCATAGACTGGCCTGGAAACTCTCCTGATTGAAATCCAATCGAGAATCTATGGTCAATCTGCAAGGAATGACTTCACGGAATGGACAAACTAAGTGATAACATGTGTACTGGGTCATGTTTCATTGGAAAAATACAAAAAATAATAATGGAATTATTCATTTTGGTTCAATTAAATTGATATATCAGGGTTATTTACATTTCTACACAACAATTTATCCATTGCACCCTGAAGATAGATAGATAGATAGATAGATATTAACAGACTGAGATAGATAGACATTAGCAGACTAAGATAGATAGGTAGGTATTAGCAAACTCAAGTAGATAGATAATGTCATAGCACATTAGGTTTTTAAGTTATATGCATCTATTTAAATCTTATATTAATTCCATTGATTTAAAAATGCCTGCTACCCTTCTTCTTCTTCTTCTATGTGCCACATCCCTTCTGAATCAGAGGATCCATACATCCCTCAAAAAAAAATATTTAACATATTTCAACTAACGGGTTGCATTCCATCCAACAATAAAAAACATGCTTCAGGACCCTTAAAAGAGTATTTGTATTTAAGTCTATAGAAAGACAAAACTAGTAAGTTACATGACACTTACACTCTTCCTCCCCAAGCTACATGACATTTACACACTTCCTCATCAAGCTTCATGACACTTACACTTTCTTCTTCACTTTCTCCCTTGCCTCTTTTTTTTTACATATACATGTGAAAAAATCACATTTTATTTTCATTTTAACAAACAACCACAAACAAGGAAGTTTAACACTCATACATGTGAAGAAGTTAGTTGTAGAAACAAAAAAATAAAAATATTTTATATTTTTATATTTAAAAACTTTCTCACCTTTTTCTTTGTTGTGGGTTGATTTAAATCCACAAAAAGTTTTCCAAACCTTCCTTCTTCTTTATGCCTTCAAGAAATTTAATTTCTTTCTGATTCTGAGTATAAGTGTTCTTTTTGTTACCATTTCTTTTAAGATTCATCATTGCTTATGTGCTACATCCATGGAATTCTCAATATCCTTTTGTAGAACTATGTTTTCCTCGCATCCAATTTTCTCTTTATTCATGGGGAGAGTCACTTATACTGCCATATAAGAGGCTGGACATCGCATAACAATCCAACAATATTTTCTTTGTTTCTATTGAAATTTTACCATTTCTCAGAACCTTACTTAGCTTTTAGAATGTTTCTTTTGCTAGTTCAATGTGTGTTTGTATCTCAGTGTGACATGATCCATTTTGCATTAATAATGTTTTGCAAGTATTTCAGCTTCTGTACCTGCTTGATGCTTATATCTCCACTTCTTAACTCACATCTTGGGCTTTTTTGCCTTGTCATGACCATACTTACTGTTTTCTTGCAATTGATGATTATTCCTTGTTTTCTTGCTTTCTTTTGCAACCTTTCTTATAAAGTCTTGTAGTTTTCTTTTGGTATCAGCCTTCAACAGTGTCATCTGCATAATCTTTTACTGTTAAGATTATACCCACCAATAATAAATACTGGTAGGGTACCCAGCTCTCTTAAGGTAGCCTTACTGTAGAGATTGAACAAATCTGGAGAGAAGACTCAACATTGTCTCATGCCCCTTTCTATTTTTATGCATCTACTCAATTTATTTTCTATCTGTATGCAGGCGGTTTGTTCTCAGGATAGGATATAGATTATTGTAAAATCCTTAGATTCCAAAGAGATATAGTTTTCCTCACAGTTCAAGTACATCTTTGTGCCATATTTTTTCAAGTGCTTTTGCATAATCTATAAATAGAATAGTGCATTATTCTTCATTTATATTTACTCTCTCTGATATTCTTCTCATAAAGATAACATTTTTTCTTTCAGTGTCTTTGAAAAAGCTGCACATTGCTTGTTTTATTTTAGTTCCAATTCTGCTTTGTACACTATTCATTAAGAATTGTAGTTAGTCATGTGGCTCATTAAAGTGTTTATCCAATGGAGATCACATTGATTTGCCCTTGGTTTCTTAGCTTATGTTACAAAGATGGATTTCCTTGAGTTATTTTGTCTTCCAGTATCTCACCACTGTTGTATATTTCATTTATTACTGCTGTGATCTTATTGATACTGAAACCATCTAAGGTTGAGAGCATTTTTTTTACAAGAATTCTAATGCTTTGTTCTTCGTCATCTTCTCCAGTGCTGATCTTGCTTCAGATTTTAATATTTCTGGTTTTTCCGTATTATTAAGTGTTGCAGGTTTCTCGCTTGTATTGTGAAACAGTTATTTGACATATTTGTTCCACCTTTGGAGTACCGTATATACTGTGGATTTTTATGATCAGTTTTTTATGCCAAAAATAGTGAGTGTCACACTGGTAATTTTTTTAAAGCGGTTTAAAATTATGCATTTTCAGTGTTTGGTTGCATTATATGCAGGTAAATTTGTTCTGGATGGGTTAAAATTCATGTATTTTTGGTGACCTACATCCTCACGGTACCTTTGACGATAAGGTTGTCACTGGAAAAACAATGGCTCAGAGATGTAAATATTTGTGAAGTGAAGATGAATGTAAATTTGAGATAGGAAAAATCTATTAATTCTTCATTTATATAAGGTCTTTGTGGATTTCAAGTGGCACACGTAGTGTATGAAGCTTGGGCACTCGATGTGGATGTAATGGTCAGCAAACTTGTCTTGCTGGATCAATTTACAACTGTATAGGGACTTCGATCCTCATTGGGTGCCCCAAATTTTTGGCCTTGTGCCATATCTGAGCTACCTTTAGAAATCACCATAGTGGATGAGGTTTTGGTCTTCATGTAGCAACAAAAGAGAAGAAACTTAGGGTATACCAAACCAGAGTAAAGGACCGACCATAATCAGCCATGAATGAAAACAAAAGTATGGTACCTAAATCTTTGTACCCAATATTTTACGGTAATTGTCTTTTTTTCTCATCATTTTGGAATAACTTTGTACAAAAAGAATGAAGACCATTTATTTGCTATAAAATATATCCAGGAAGATGGCCAGTATTTCAATATTTAACAACAGTAGGAATCAATTATGAAACTTATACTTTAAGAAGCTTTTGCAATGAATAGCAAAGGCTAAAGGAGGATATTTTGACAAGAGCAAAATTTAATCATAAAATTCTTATATCTTTTTGTCATAATAAAATTTCTAATAAAAAATCATGTCTCTCTTTTTTTTTAACCATATATAATTTTCAATTATTTAAAGAACAAAACAGCTACTTTTGTGCTAATTTAAAAAATTACCAGGGGTTGTCACAAACTTTTGAACTGTAGTGTGTCTGTGTATATATATATATATATATATATGTGCAATCAATTTACAAATTTATAATTCATGAATATATATATATATATATATATATATATATATATATATATATATATATATATATATATATATATATATATATATATATATATATATATATATATATATATATATATAAATAAAAAGAAAGAAAGAACAGTAGGATATATAGTCTGGTGTTCTTATTGATATTTTTATTTTTACAAAATAGTGCTCAATGTAATGAGCATTATTATTATAAATTAACTGATTTAAAATATGTTTTTTCGCTACACAGTAATAACCATGTTTAAAAAATGAAAGCTAAAACCTTTGAATTTAATTTTGTAATTAAATTAAAAACATTACTTCCATTTCATCCTCAAGCAAATTTTGGAGTAACTTATTTTTTAAATTTACTGAGTTTTAAGGCACAGAAAAATTCATAATTCATAGCCAAAAAATAGCTAATTCATTTCTCTGATTCAGTAAACTTTTATTTTTTATAAACTTATATAAATACATATATCAAGCAAGGATGGGGCCTCAAGCCTTGAATGCATAGCTTCTTTTCTTTCACTTCCAGGCATTGGAACTCTTTTCCACTTACTTGCTTCCATGATAACTATAATCTCCAAAAATTTAAATGTAATATCAATCAACATCTTCTGATACCTTGACCTTGTTCACTGTCCTTCTCTTTATCCTTTCCTCAAACACCCTCTTTACTCTTACTTTAACTCTCTGTGACCCCTTGTGTGCTAGTGGCACTCCAGCCTTTTTTGGGGTGAACTGCTTAAAAAAAAAAAATTCACAGAAAATAAAAATCAATCTATTGTGAACCATGATCTCCTATGTCTTGAAGTGACATGTCATTTAAGAATAAAAAAAACGCAATTTTTTGTGAACCATAATCCCCTATGTACTGAAAGTCACATGTCATTTAAAAATAAAAATAAAAAAAAATGAAAAATTCCAAATCCATGCCAGGAATACCGAATAGAAATTATTACAGTCATTATAAATTAGAATTTGGAAGAAGAGTGACAATTTCAGTTGCTTTGGTTTGATAGAACAGTTCGGAAGTGGTCCAGACCATATGAGGACATTGATCCCCATAGTCTTGAACCTGCCTTGATATCTCAGTATCATTTCAGAGAGGTCCATGATGGAAACTCTTACTATTCTTATTGCTTATGGCACACAGGTACATTTGAAAAAGAATCATCTAGATGATAATCCAAGAAAGGTATTTCAAGTGATATTCCAGCGTTCTTTTATTAAATCACCATATTTAGTTCTGTACAAGTAACACCTTATAGGACCAGGTTAAGTGGGTGCAACTATTAGATATCATACATAATTGCATATCATGCGACTTTTGAAGAGCTAATTTTTAAGCTGATTCTAAGTGAGTCATGCACAAGACATAAAATTAGCGTATGTACTGTTGGTCCTGGCTACGCTGTTGAACAAAACTATATATCCATTTACTATAGTCAAAAAGTACACTTGCATTTAAAATAGACAGGATTGTGATAAAACTGAGAGTTTACATAATTGTATCCAATAACGATGCATGTAATATTCATATATTACTATCATATTATAAAATACAAACATAGCGAATATGCATTTTTTCCATTGTTTATAAGATGTTCAGCTGTTTCTTGTTTGGTTGTTTATAGCTGTATGCTATGAATATGGCATTACTAACAATACTTTTATCATTCTCTTTTACATTTTTAACTTCTTTCACTAGAATATGGGATAAAGAATTAAAGGAAGAGAGGTTAGTCTATTGTAGTTTGGCCTCTTGAAAAAGCATCTTGCATGATACACAAGATATATGATAAAATCATTTCTTATAAGTGATAAATTTGGGCGTCACACAATATACAAGATTGTGCATTACATGAGTATATATGGTATATACATAGACTTTTTTAACCATTTCACCCCAAGCAAGGTGATAATGCC